TGATACTTTGAATATTACATGTTAATAACTTGATTGGAATTATTGAATTGACAGTTTGATACTTTGAAAATTTTGAGCCAGCCCTACGTGGGCCCCAAGGGCTGTAGGGTGGGGCTCAAAGGAGTCAGTGTGCTAAAATTTCTTCATTTTCCTTGTTAAGAATCAAAGGTGCTAGTTTCAAATCCTTTTTAGTCTGAAATCTGTATGCTAGATATTGAGTAAGGTGGTTTTATTGTTTTTTGTCACTTTGAATAATATTTCTGTTCATGTTGAAAACAAAATCAACTCTCTGTATAAATATATCAGGTGACCGTTAAGGCCCATGGGCCTCTTGTTTAAAGATCCGTCATCGAGTAAGCCTCTGAACCCCCCCCCCACCCCGATGTTCCAAGGAAGAATCATGGACCCCCCATTCCTTATTTTTTTACGAAATGAGTGCCGTTTTCACACGAGGTTAACAAGTCATAATTGTTTCAACGTTTGCCTGTATATCAATTTCCTTATATTTATTCAAACGTTTTTGGGACTTGGATGACTAACGAGTAAAAACGACATGCGGACCAATTTTTCCTGATTTTTTTAAGACGGCGGCTGGCACATTCACGTTTTTTTTCCATTACTTTCACGATAAAATTGGCAATGTGGTGCCCTAAAATGAAATGCACACGGTCCTGAGAACCAAGTATTTTTTTGGGCCTTACCTACCTATCGTAAATTCAACCGATGGCGTCACTGCTGATAAAATTAAATCACTGTTTTTTTCTCTGTGTGTCACTGTTATATTTGTGATTTTGTTTCAGAGCCATTTCCAGACGTTAAAACATGCTACCTGTTTGTATACAACTTGGTCCAATATGTCGGCTTCACATACATATTCGCCGCTCTCACCTACCACATCTTCAAGGACATGAATTGTAAGCCACTTCGTCACTTTGACATAAAGGGAAATAACTTAATGTGAACAAAGGAAAATTAATTTTATCAATCAGATTGGCATGCCTGATACAGTTGATAACAAAAGATAACTCACACTAGTTATTTGATTTCTTCACTGTACAATTTATCAATTGATTCATGTATATATTATATTTTATATTTTGTATATCATATTGTATTTGATTTGGTATTCATTCACTTGTACTGTGTACATTTAATTTTTGTTCACAGTAAAATGATTCAATTCAGAAATCAGTACTAATATCAAATCAAGTTTACCTTAATCTTAGTTCTGTATAAAACCTATAAATTTCAATACAAATGTATGTTTCCAATCTTATTAATGGGTCTTTAATATCTTATGTTGCAGTTGCATTTACTAATACGCTGGAAATTTCTGGGACACAGATGCTGTTTGTACAAACAGCTGCTGTCCTAGAAATTGTTCATCCTTTGTTAGGCTGGGTGAAGTCCAGTCCCGTTCCAGCCTTCATGCAGGTAACCCGGTTTATTAGCTCACTTCGCTGAAAGACAATGGTGAGATTTGGCAATAATTCTGCATCCATCATCTATCCATACTCTGTCGTTCATATTTTGAATTCTTTTAATAGAACCATGATGCAGATAGTGGTACCTATGTAGTAATTTAACCGTGTTTTTTTAGGATGAAGTGCTATCAGCTTTGTTCAGGTTAATAACCCTGACCTTCTGCAAGGCCACATGGGTCAAATGTGTTAAAACTAGCATTGGATGAATTACTGAAGAAAGGTGAAGATTGCACTGCGCAACAGTTTCTGTATACATTATATGAGTAGCATGATTTGAAAAGGATAATACAAATAGATGGTTTCCTGTGAAAATGAATATTCTGTTATAATATCTTTGAATTCAACTATACAGAGAGGCTAAGGTAATTGAATGTTGTATTTGCAGGTCATGGGTCGGAACTTCCTGTTGTTTATTGTGTTGGGGCAGGAGCCGAGACTACATGACAAGTCAATAGTGTTCATCTTGTTTATGGTGTGGAGTGCCATAGAAGTTGTACGGTAAGAACTAGGAGTTTCCATTCGTCCTAGATTGATTAACAAGTTGTCTTGAATGTCTCTTCATACCGATAAAAACTTTTGATCAGTTAAAAAAAGTTTTATCATATAACCAGGTGTAAACTTCTGACAAACAGAAAACTTGATACATTGTTCTGCCTCTGACAGAATAGTCTGGATGCCATCTGGATATTTAGGACATTTTAAAACCATTTTCACAGAATACTTGACATGTATGTTTGAAGTTGGGGTAAATTCGCATATCCGGTTGAACCTGTAAAGAAACCGACAGGCACAGATCTGGACTGAGGCTGACCTCAGGAAAATTTGGCAAGTGTAGATTGCGGGGTCCAGACGTACCTGACTAAAATGCTGACTATTGCCAGTTTGCATTATTTCTTTCTAAAACAATGTCAAGTCACGTGTAATTTTTAGCTCACCTGGTCCAAAAACTTATGCCATTGTGCGGCGTTCGTCGTGCATTTTTAGCTCTGCTTATAGAACGGTCCACGTGCGTTCATTTATCGTGGAATATTTCTGTGCCACACATACTGTTTCAACCGGGATATGCAAATACAGCCCTGCATGTTGAACATCAAACACCAAACAATACCTGAGTTGTAAGAATTACTTCCCTTCAAACAGTTATAGTCCTTAACAGCCAATAGCAACCCTGAAAGTAAAGGTATGTGGGCGACAATACTGAGGGAGCAGCTGAAAACAGTTCGTTAATGTAACATTTTTGGGGTATAAATCCTGACGGACCTGCAAATGTTTATGCAGGCCTTGCAAGGCTTGTTCAAGGCTTGCCTGAAAGCAGCATCAGATTACTGGGTCTGACCTTATTTCAAAAAATGAACACCTCTGGTCCAATTGGTTAACCGTTTGGACCGTGATAAATGAAAACGGCCCATATATCAGGAGATATCTGATGCTTAACTCTCATTAGTATCTAGCAGGGAAATAAGCCTGAAATCATGAATTACACTACTAAAAACTCCATAGTATCATCATATAATTATTCTGACCAAAATCAATCACAATTTTGTAATTGATTAATCCGTTTATTGGCCTAACTAACCGAAAGTCAAAACAATTTATTAATCAGATCCTTAACATGTAATGCTAGTACCATGAAAGAGACGCTAAGTTGTTTGACGTAAGTAGCTGTATATTGACATCAAATTAAGGTGTTAAGTCTATGCTGTGTTGTAGCTTAACAGTAATGGGTATATGAATTGTATAGGCTCTATTTGTGTTTTCTGTGTCACCATAAAAGAGTGAACCAAATACAGGTGATCTTCATAGATTGGTTTTGATTACTGTATATACCAGGGCAATTTTGCCCAGTCACATAGTCATTCTATAACAAGAAATCCATATTCACTCAGTGGGAGTTTTGCCCTTCACATGTATTTATAATTTTATATATGTGTTATGCTGTGAATTAAAATCAGCTGTAATGATAACTTGGCCTTCATTATTGAGGAGTTGAAATCTTAAACTGTGGAGAAAAAATTCCTGGTACACTGTTATCAGTATATATACACATTTCCACTGTTAGTTCCTCTATGAGCATTACCATAAGATATTGCATTCATAGGACTATGAATGCAATTGGATCAGCATCATTTTGAAGTTTCTCCTTCTGCCTCGATTTACATTAGACAACTGTTAGAAGCAAACATTTTGGTGACATTAGGCTGTTCCAGGAGTCTAGTTTTCACTGACAACACAGGCACTTCAATATCCAAAATATAAGAGAATATTTTTATTTAGGTCAATAATAACTAAAAATTTAGAATGCAAACATAAGGATTGAACGAAAGTATGAATGCAAACCGGTTACATACATATTTTGCATGAAGCCCTATATGTATGTAACCGATTTGCATTCATACCAGCAAGAACATAAAAAAATACCGTTCAACCCTTATGTGCATGATGGCATCTCTTGACAAGTAATCTGTACGGGCAAATTGCCTGTATACCAAGTTGATATTTATATGAAACAAAAACATTTAAGTGATATCATCTAATTATAATGACAGGGCATCATTCTAGGCAAGTTTCATTGTGATTACATTTTGTTTTTATCCAACAGATATCCATTTTACATGCTGTCAGTATTGGGAAAGAAGAACACTTTTATCACATGGTGTCGCTATACAGCCTGGATTCCCCTGTATCCTCTGGGTTTTATTTCTGAGGGTGAGTTTTCCTTTCCTCACTCTTGCTTATGGAAATACAGAAAAACTATGGATCCTGGAACAGTCTTCCAGATTGGTTCAAAATTGTAATTGTTGGTGAATTGAATGCCTAGCTCTTTTGTAAATCAGTCAATATTTAGTAAAATAACATTTATAAATGCTACATTAATAATACAATGTTTATGTATGTGTATGTAATTCAAAACTTGATATGGCACTTGTCACCTTTAAGGGCTACTTCTATAACATAAGAGGCCGCTAGTCAACCTTTTTTCTATCTGATATGATTTTGCCGACTTACATTGTTGGAGTACTTTAATTAAGAGCCATCAAATTTAGCCTGAAATCCAAATTGTTTGATGACCCTGGGGCAATAATCTAATATTGCCCCAGGGTGATCAAAAAAATGTAAAATAAGTAAAGCAAAATTGTTTCTAATGTGTCTGACAGTGTTTGAGGCAATAAAAGAAGATAAAAATCATTTGAAAAGTTCCTAATACCGGTATATACTAGAAGGTTAAATAAAATGGTCAAAGGGAGATAATCAAGCATTTTTTCCCTTTAATTTTTCAGCATTAATCATTCTGATGGCGATCCCATACTATGAAGACTCCGAGAGATTTTCAGTATTCCTTCCAAATTCTTACAACTTTTCCTTTTATTTCCCATGGTTTTTAAAACTCTACTTAGGCATATTCATCCCAGGTAAGTGAAATATTTGCTAGACAAAACATTGGCACAACACACCTGCTGACTATAGACCATACCTTTTTTCTCTGGTTTTGATTATTTTTTGTTTTTTTTTCATAATTCTTAGAATAAGTGGCAATACTTACAGTTTAGGCTTACTGAATGTACTTATAACTCATTCTTAGGACAAAACATTGTTTGAAAGTACTAGAATAGAGCAGATAGACGGTTTTTCAAAAGAGGTTAATTTCTCATAACCATTATTGTAACATAGTTTGTCATTTTGAAAAATGAAATATTGTTTTAAACCTATACAACTAGGCTTTGTGGTTGTTTTCAAAGTAGTGTGTTTTTGTATATGTCCTGTTAACATAACTCTGTGATTAATATTTGTATTGTATGATGATGATGACGTGATGTTGACTAACGTTGTACACATTCCTTTTCAGCGGGCTACTTCCTGATGAATTCCATGTTTCAACAAAGACAAAAGGCTTTAAAGCCACTCGGGACTAAGAGGGAGTAGGATCAACCATCATAATATGTGTTACTGTTATTTGATAATCAGAAAAGTCGGGTGATTTTTAAATGTTCTGGTGATTTTTAAAGGTATATAGCACATGTGGTATCATGAGTGTTTACGTTTTGTAGAATATTATTGTTTATCACATGTGAAACAGATAAATATGGTCAGAAGTTAACTACCTACAACATTTTAGAAATAATTTGAAAGTTGGTAGCTCACCTAATTCTTAGGTTTCACAGTAAGTGGAGGATAGCACATAGTTTGATATAAAATCACTTCATGAAATGTATCGTAGTAAAAAAGGCTCTTCTATCAAAAGGTCAATCAAATAATGTTAAAATCGATTAAAAACATAGGTTAGAAACAAAACAAAACTTACATCTTGTAAGCTGAAACAAGTGGTAGATTGCCAGGTAAAAACCAAGATTGAAAACAAAATCATTCGAATTTGTGAATAGGATAATTACAAACTGTAATCGTTTAAGAAGAAAAAAATCAATTTTAATTTAAAATCATACCTGGTAACTATCATTCTACAGAATGATGATGCACTGTAATTTAAAATATCTACAGATAGCTGGAGAAAAACTAAGGTTGTATTTGATTTGTTGTAAGCTAGAACAGACATGACTGCCTAGCTGATTTCTAAGAGAGTCTGTCAATTTTTACCCCAGATATTATTTCTTTTTAATATCCTTTTTTAAAGGAAGGTTACTATAAATGTTTGTTCAATTCACCCAGGGTAAAGAAGGGAGTTTTAGTCCAAATTATACCTGTTTTTTGAGGGGTAATTTTAAGCTTTTTTAGAAAGATATTTATTGTGTGTTCATTAACATACAAATGAACTTACAAATCAGGTTGAAATTAATGATGAAGTTGAAACAAAAATATATTAATTTTTCACGTGAACAGAACTTGTTTTTAACATGATTCTGTCCAGATAAATAATCTGTGTTCCCAAAGGTTGATATCATGCAAAAATACTGTATGCCAAGCTGTTGTTGATGTATTTATTTTCAATTACGATATAGATTTATTTTTAATTTGTATGATCAATGCTGGAGATAGCTGTGTGGGACTGCCTGATTACAATTGTCACTTTGAGGTTGTAGTAATTTTTGGTCACTGTGGAGCATTAGAGAATGTGTTCAATACATTAGGCATTCATTATTACTGTTCATTATTTTGCTTATACATGAACTTATGAATTTAAAAAAAAATAAAATATGAGGATAATTTATGAAAAATTGTATTTGGTGAAGTTGTTATATGTATATATAATTACATAGTAAAATGTAGTTGTATCTGATGGTTCTGTGTAGATGATTAAGTGAATATCTAAGAATAGCTTATCGCAGTAGTCTCCCTTAACTTGTGTTGCCCAAGTTGTATTAAACATAAGGCCATACGATATAGATTTATTTTTAATTCGTATGATCAATGCTGGAGATAGCTGTGTGGGACTGCCTGATTACAATTGTCACTTTGAGGTTGTAGTAATTTTTGGTCACTGTGGAGCATTAGAGAATGTGTTCAATACATTAGGCATTCATTATTACTGTTCATTATTTTGCTTATACATGAACATATGAATTTAAAAAAAAAATACATATGAGGGTAATTTATGAAAAATTGTATTTGGTGAAGTTGTTATATGTATATATAATTACATAGTAAAATGTAGTTGTATCTGATGGTTCTGTGTAGATGATTGAGTGAATATCTAAGAATAGCTTATCGCAGTAGTCTCCCTTAACTTGTGTTACCCAAGTTGTATTAAACATAAGGCCATTTGTTAAGTACGGCTGGACATTTAAAAGTGTGGACAGACTAACATGGCATTCTGATTACTTCTTACACTATCCTTTATTTAGTAGCTGGGACTTCCAAGACCTGTTATGCTATTGAAGTCCTCTTCAGTTTACTGGTGGTGAAAGTTTCAAGCGATATATTAAAACAATTCTGCTCAAGTTTTCTCAGTGGTGGGACTGTTCAGAGGATAAAACTGGTCTTGAATATATTCTGATAAAATACACAGATAGGAAAGGTTGTTTTTGAAAGTGTGTGGTATCTGGTCATGTCTTCTTGTAGTCAGCTCTCTGTTGTGTTTTGGTGTGTTGATGTTTGCTGGTTTTCTGTTTTATGTACTTTTAATGTTTTACCAAAGCATTGTTTATCATTAGGATGCATTAGTAAGGGGAGGAACCCATGATGTCACCTTTTTCTTGAGCGTCACAATTGGCTCATGACGGAGTAGTTTCCCTTGAATAAGACTACCAATACAAAATATACAGTCTGACATGAGTTTCCATTTTTTCCATAGTATCTTTAATTTTAAGGTGCCTTTATAAAACTGCAATTAACAACTGTGACAGTTTCACAAATCTCTCACGAAATTGAAACAAATGTACTGCTTATGGCACAAACCAAGATTTTATGCAAATATTCGTAAAAAACACACTTTCTGAAGCTGACTTAAAACCTAAACTATCATCCATTATAATTGTAACTTTGTGAAGCCATGAAGTTCTGAGTTGGGATGTCACAATGCATTTTTTTTAATACTTTTTTTTCTCTGGATTCAACCAGATTTTAGATACGCATGTCATGTGACGCGGGTCATTTGTTGTTCTGATTAATGCCAAAAATCCTTTTCATGCAAACAAATCTTCAATGTTAGTTCCTTTATACAATATATTTGTCTATATGTTTAATATAAAACATTCTGTTGTAGTGTTTACACATCTTATAGTTCCCGAGTAAAGGCTAAGTTTTTTTTATACACACAAACAGGAATAGAAAACCTATTTTGCAAGCTTTTCGAAAAACATGTCACATGTCCCCCTGCCTGCCTGCAGTATTAGAGTGCAAATGGGCGAAATGTCTATGATTTTTGACAGCTGACTTTACTGATTTGGCCCACTGTGGCTTAGTGAGTTTTTTTCAGGGGTTTAGAGTCGAGACACCGGCCATTTACACCCTTTGCTTGACTAAGGAAACACACGCTTTCGAAAGCTGGCAAAATAAGTTTTGAATTCCTGTTTGTGTTCAAAACAAACTATGCCTTTAGTATTCATACCAAACTGATGAATCTTATTCTGAAGTGTAGTTCCATAGGTTGTTCAAATTTACTTGAGATGGGGAGTTAAACTCCATAGTTTTCTCAATCATGACTTAAAGTAAAGAGACCAAGCACTCTGTGAGACCAAGCACTCTGTATTAAAATTCACTTTCGGGGTGGTCGGGTGGTGCAGTGGATAGCACACTTGCCTTTCACCAAGACGGCCGGGGTTCGATTCCCCGATCGGACTCGAAAAGGTATGGGGTCACCTGCCCGACCACGTGGGTTTTCTCCGGGTTCTCCGGTTTCCTCCCACAATAAGACCCCCCCCGCGCGCTAACATCTGGGCCAACAAGAGTGATTAATATAAGTTGAAATAACTTGTTTCATAATTGTTGTAAAATAACTAAAGTTTATATATATATTAAAATTCATTGAAAAAGAGTTCCAGTTTGTTCTGCATGTTTCTGACTAGGAGTTACTTGCCCATTTATTATAGCAAAAATTATACACAGAAGAGATCTACTCATTAACCCTTTCACCCCTAGGTAACTTTAGTAGACTCTTCCATACATTTATCTGGGTGAGTCCATTATGGTTTGTAGTGGTGAAAGGGTTAAAATGTCTTTCTTCACCAAAAGATATGGGGATTCCAATGTCAAACTGCTTGATTATAAAACAGGCAGCTTATTTCCTGCTCTTCTGATCATACATGTAATATTTGTTTTGTTAGACTCTTTTCAGCAACACCACTGGGAATAATTCCAAAATTCATAATTCCCTGAAAAGACTTGCAACCTCTAAAATTCTTTGTATGAATAAATAGATAAACAAAAGTTTAACAGGAAAGTAGCTTTTCAGTCCCGGTATGCAATAGAAAAGTAGCGGGACCCCTGTAACCTTATTTATTGATTGCAATGCCTATAGATCAGATGAAATCTAAAGAATTTTAAAAATTCATGTGAGGTATATTTATTCAGTATTGTAGAGTTCAGAGATTTTTAAAATCTTCTACGTTTATATTATAAATTGTCAATATAGTTGTAGTTAATTTGTTGTGTTATGATTTTTTATGTTTTAATTTTTCCTGACTGGATGTTTGTTATTGGAACATCGTAGAACAGTGCCAGCTGAGGAGTGGTGCTATATATACAGAGTACATGTGTACTACATGTTGGTACAGAGGGGTTGTCAGACCGAGGCAATATTTATTCATGATTTATAATTTACATTAATGACAATTGATTTTTTTTGATTTATACATGGATTATTGGTGGTATATTGTGTTATACTTCTGTCTGTGGAAGAGAGAAATCACACACTGACAGATTTAGACGTTGTGTTTTTATGCACATGGACTAGACGCAAATTTCAGTCTCAGTGATTGTTATAAAATATTCACATTTTATAAGCTATTCACATTTTATAAGCTATTCACATTTTATAAGTTGCCTTTTTTTATTTTTTTATTCAATAATTTTTGAAGTTTTAGCGGCTGACTGAGAAATGAATAGGGGCTGAAGGTGATGATTTTTCAAAATTATTTTGCATATCCTTAAAATCTTTGGGCAGCTTTGGGTATCAATCATTTTTCCCACTTCACTAATCATTTTAAGACGCACAGGTGTTTTCCTCTATTGACCATCTTTAATCCTGAATCAATCTCAGATTTAAACAAGACTGTTACTAGTACAGTATTGTTTTTGTTATGGTTCTGATACAGTGAATATAGTGAGATCAATATATAATGGTTTGAATGATACCTGTGATATAAATAACTTAAGTGTGAAAAGAAAATTTGTAAATCTACTACATTCAGCTCTGATGCATTTCTCCCATTATGAAAGAAAACCCCTTTCAGGTTCAGCTTAACACAAAATAATGAAAAGCTTACAAAACTTGAATATTTTATATGAAATAATAGATTTTTGAGACTGAAATGCTTGGTATTGATGGGAATCATGTGATCCTTGCTTGAGTATCATCAGGTGTTTTGTATGTTTTATTTTTGATAATAAAAATTCAAAAATGAAAAAGAAAAATTTGGTTCTTGATTTTTTTTATAAACATTTGACGATTTTCATTTAGGGAGGTTTCTTTACGGTCATTGCTCGCATCACTAACCTTTGAATCACATAAAGAAGTTGCCGCCATAGTCTCAATACACAAGTGACGAACTATTCCTCTGAACATTTGGTAGTACATGAATCATACCACAACATTTGTAGGAACAATATACATTTGTTTTGTATATGAAATTACAATTGTAATCGGAGCAACATGAGTAGTAATGTGACGTTTCAGGACATTTGGACATATGGAGGCACAGTAGTCTAGTGGTAGGATGTCGGGCGCGTGACTGAAGGGTTGCGGGTTCAAGTTGCACCACACAATGTGTTGTATCTTTGAGCAAGATACTTTACTCCGCTTGTTCCAGTCTACACAGCTGTAAATGAGTACGTGGTTAGGCAGTGCTAGAACTGTTGAATGCTAGCTGTGAGTGCCGAAATGACAGCACTGGCTGTATGCTCCCCAGGGAGTTGAGAAGAATATTGGCTGGTTGCAAAGGCCCTATAACCATGGATAATAATTTGTGAACCGCTTTGAGAGGATCTACAAACTAGGTTCTGATAAAGCAGTAAATAAGAACCTCCAATTATTGATATTGATACATCTACTCAATAATACAGATAAAGGAACTACTACAAATTTTAGCTTTACAAAATTACATCTATGATATAATTTGAATACACTGATTTTGTTAATAACCATATAATGGGGTGCTAAAAATAATCTACACCAGGTTAACACCTAAGTGTAGTTACTCACAACTAGGTCAACATTTGTTTACCTGGTACAAACCAATGGATCATGACAGACCAACAAGTATTACCTCAGGTTGAGCCGAAATCGGAGGAGTGTAAACTAGGGCCCTCATTTACACGGAATATCCAAGTTCTACTATTTACTGTAACTTCAGAAAACAAAGTCTGACGTAAATGTTAGATGGCTTTGTAAAAATTCTACCAGAAAACATTAAACAACTACGTTTGTACGTAATTCAGAAACTAACCAAAAAATGGTGATAGCATGGGGTAGGTTATCAAGAGCACAGCCATTCAGTATAAGTTTGGGGGGATGTTGTCTGTTGAGGACAAATCAAGGAATACAAAAACAGGAACAAGTGTCCACCTATTTAGTCTGCTGTACATTAAGTAAATGTTGTGGTAGCAGCGCTTGATCTGAGCATGTTGTTTGGGACCTCAAATAATGTTGTTTTTTTAGTGTGGTTTTTTGTAATTCAGGTGGTTTACATTTATTTTTTTTATTTTTAAAGGGACGTAACTCAGTTAAATTGCATTTTTTTTCTTTTTATACTTTCATTACTGTGTTGAATAACAGTAATGACTTTGTGTTGAGACCTGTGGCTTGTTATGAGAGAACTGTTGCAGAAAAATGCTCACGGATTCTGTTATTGTTCATTTGCTTATGTACAACCTTTTTTAAATCATGCACTTTTTCCTCAAATATATCTGATATATCAATTGATTGATCTACTTTTATAAAGCCCTTTAGAAGCAACAGAAAAAACCCCATTTCAATCATATATCAAAGGTTGTGTTTGCAAAAGGATTTCAAAAGTGTTTCTGTTAACTTGATCAGGTCTTGATTGTTCAGAAACAAGCTTAATTAGCATCATATCTATGTCTTTTAAGCCATACGCTGTGTTAACTGAAGCTGGAATTAACTTTAGCTGGAGTTAGCTTTAGCTGGAGTTTACTTTAGCTGCTGTCACTTACCTGGAGTTGACTTCAGCTGTTAGCTAATTGATATTTAGTTGGGGTTAGATTAAGCTGGACATAATTAAGCAGGAGTTAACTATAATTGGAGCTAACTTTAGTAGGAGTTAACTTAAGCTGTAGTTAAGGTTAGCTGGATTTAGCTCAACCTGGAACTACCTTTACCTGGAGTTAAATTTAATTGGAGCTAACTTTAGAAGGAGTTAAGATTAATCGGAGTTAGCTTTATCTGGACACAATATTAGTTGGAATCAACTGTATTTGGAGTTAATTTAAACTGGGATTGGCTCAAGCTGGAGTTAGCTTTAGATCGAGTTAGCTCAAGCTGGAGTTAAGCTTAAGTTGAGTTAACTTTAGCTAGAGTGTAGTTTAAGTGGAGTTTGCTGTAGCTGGCTAAACTTAAGCTGGATTGCTTGTAACTGGAGTTAGCTGCATTGGCTCTAGCTGTGCTAAATAAACATGAAGTATTTTTTTTTTATTTTGAGTTAAATTTAGCCGGAGTTCACTTAAGCTGGGGTTAGCATTAGGTGGAGGTATATTTAGGAGATAATTCTCATACATATATTTAAACTCTGCACACACTTGTTTTTGTTGTAGTTCGATGAATTCTTGCTTTACCAAAAAAAAAAGGTATGTCATGAAAAATAGGATTTTAATATTAATTAGTCAAAAGAATGTCTAAAGATAGAATCAGGAGAGAATATGTGATGTTTTAATGATGCTGGTTTGTCTCAATGCCGCCGTGTGCCGTACACACACTAAGTGTTAAGGGGATATGTGGATCAACAGTCATCCCCGCCCATTGTTTGTACCAAACAAGCTCTGGTGTCTCCCAAGGGTTGCACGTGGTCTCGAGGACTGGGCACCACCAGTGTATGCCGAGGGATGGAGAACCTGGAATTTAGACGCAGTGTTTGGCCATGTTGTGATCTACACGGGTGGGTACCGGTCCGTGTGTTAAACCCAATTAATATGACCCAGATATAACTGTTGATAGACCAAACAGCGTACATGGTTAGCTCCTATAATTGGCCAATCACATTAGTCTCGGGGCTCACACCAAAATGGGAAACTTGTATGCAAAATAAAAGGTCCTGTTAAAAACAGTGGATTTAAATTGGAATAATATCATACCTTCAGTGAAAAAAAACAAAAAAACCCTCTACAGAGCATTATATGATACCTTCAACCATCACCGTTACAGAATTATTTTTATTATTCATTAATATTAATCAGTACTTAAAATTGATTTGTTAATATCTAAAAGTGTTTTTATAATATTAATAATTGTTTTTCACTTTGGTAAATTGTTATTAAATATTAGTAAATAGATTTTTGATATTAAAAAATATGGACTTTTTCACATCACCATTCTACAATTTTGTTTACATACTAACGAAGTTTTCTGCTTCTGTTTAAAACTAGTCATTAAAGAAGATTTTTTTTCGTGAATAAGATGTACACGTAACAAGGTTACAGCACTTTTTTAGTGTGTCATTCAATTCTTCACTGCCCGTCAACAAACCCAAATTAGAAAATACCTGGAGAAATTATTGTGCATGTTATGTTCTTCAATATGAAACATCATATGAATATGCCAAAATTTTATTTTAAGTAAAAAGGCGGCAGTTAGTACAAATATAGGATATTTTAATTATTATTTTTAGCCTACAAACCCCCTCCCATCTTTATAGAAACCTGTACAATGAACCACAGTCAGCATCGGGGTCTTGTTGATGTTAATTAGAATACAAATCATGCATTCGGTAAGTCAAGAATGTAGCAATGGTGTATAACAATAATTATATTACCCTTCCAGCAAAGACTGTTTCAACTAATATCGGCAATTAACATAAGTCGACGTGGTACATGAAAATATGAATCGGTAGAAAAAAATTAGCCCTTTTTTGTTTCGAAGTTTCAATATTACCAGGAAGCAAGCGGTGTCTCCTTTCAAGGGGTTCACGTCTAAACATTAACGTATATATTTTATCATCGTTTTTTTTTAAATACGTGCTCTGTGTATCTTTGTTGGTGACAAGCTTACTACATGTAAAGACCTATCGTGATGTTACGTAAACGGACAACAGTCAAGAGGATTTACTGCAACAAGCACATTTTCTGCACACAATCATCAAAACTTCCTTCTTGTCGTTTATAATATTTAGGGACAAAACACAAACTGTTATGAAGGAAGTGTCATATTTTTTTTAAATTCCATTGAAACACCTACTGCGTTCTTCAAATTATCAGTTTTTGTAAATAGGCCTATTTGTAATACAAGTTTGACAAACCCTGTTTAAACTGCGTTGTGCTTTTGCATTCGGAAAACCCCCGATATACGTTAATACACTGCAATTCGAATGAATCAAATGCGTTTTTCTTTCGTTTGCGTCGACTCCGGAAATTTTGATTTAAGGTATAATTTCCATTAAGCGCGAACAAAAATGTACCCTTTGTAAGATATCCGTTTTGTTTTCATAACTAAGGGACTAACGGATTTTATTCTGTTTGACAAGATGTAAACGTTATGGTAACAAGTCATTTAGTGGTTTACATAAACGCTAAAGCCGTGATTTTATCAATGAAAAAGGAGTGTACGGCATTGATAAACAAGGGAATTCACTATTTGCATTTACGGATTCGTTAAAAACTGCGTTTTTTGAGCGAAATGGAAGCTTTTTGAGAATCTTGGGTGGCCCTTAAAAGGGCCTTTGGTTGTTTTAGGTAATTCAGAAGTCTACTTTTTAGTAGCTCCCTTCTTTACGGCCTTTCTTGCTTTCTTTGGAGACTTCTTTGCCTTTGCTTTTTTGACTGGCTTCTTGGCTTTTTTAGCTGGTTTCTTTGCTTTTTTAGCTGGCTTTGCCTTCTTCGCCTTCTTTACCTTTTTAGGCTTTTTGGTCTTCGTAGCCTTCTTGGGCTTCTTTGCCTTCTTTTTCTTAGGTGTCTTCTTCTTTGGTGTCTTTGCCTTCTTTTTTGGTGCCGCTTTTCCTACCCTGAAGCGCCCTGTTGCTCCAGTAGCTGTGGATCCCTTGGGTCTCACAAGTGCCCCGGTCTTCAGTCCACGTGCTAAAGCAATCCTTACAGACGATGCGACTCTGCTGGCAGTAAGAAACTTGCTGAAGTTAGCCATGATGTATTTCCTGATGGCTTGAACAGATGACCCCTTCCTGTCCTTCATGGCTGTGATAGCTGCGACCACCATAGACAGAGTTGTGGGTTTCTTAGCTCCTCCCTTTAACGACTTCTTAGCTGCCTTCTTCTTTGGACTCTTGGCCTTCTTTGGACTCCTGGCCTTCTTTGACTTAGAAGGAGACTTGCTGCGGCTTCTGCTCCTTGTCCTGCTCCTGCTCCTACTTCTAGACCTAGACCTTACACGCCTTTTCGGACTAGCTGCCTTCTTTGCTGCCTTCTTCTTAGGACTTTTCTTCGCCGACTTTGGCATTGCTACTTTGGCTGGGGACGCACTCCGGCTCCTACTCCTACTCCTCGAACGCCTTCTCGGACTTGGTGCCATTTTAAGAGATTTGATACTCAGTTAAATGCAAGTGTGACCAATACAACGACCTCCCGCACCTATATATACTTTCCTCGGACCTCACTGAAAACACCCCCTTGAAACACGAAAGAAGTTTCGATGGCGGTCTATTCAACCTCATATTGTGTTTGTATCACCTTTTTCACCTTCAAATAAAAGATGTTTTATTCACTCCCAATCCAAAGTTTTAAGCGATAGAGACACCATTACTTAAGATATATGTAATAATGTCTTTATTTGTCGCCCATATTGTCCGAAAGAGTGACTACGATTGTTTTGTTTGTGGCAGACTTAACCTGCACATAGCTTATATGCCATAATTTTATGAAAATATATTGCTTTCCTTGTCAAATTCGAAAATGTATTGATGTTTTTGCAAATAATGATTACTTTTTAATGTGCTTGCTTATAAGATATACGTCGTTCAGATGAATTTTGATTTCCTGACCATTTTTAAACCAACGCTAAAAAACACACGCCATTCATTTTTCTTTTCGCATGGCATGACCGACAAGCAGGACACACATATTTCATTTCATAAAAACATTAATAAACTGTACATCAACGCAAATATCGGTTTGATTGAGTATGCTGTCTTTATTCTCCTTACTACCTCAAAAAGACTACACAAATACTGTCTTTTTTGAAAACAAAATCCATGGCCGTCTGGAAGCTTCAGTACAGACTGTACTGAACAAATATGGCGGCGAAAAAACTCCCTTCCGTAGGCCTACTTATGAATGAATTCACACAATAAAATATCATACCCAAATGATTTATTTCGTGTTAAACATATTCCTCATTTTTTATCATATTCATATGAATATCTCACTATGCCTTCTTTTTCATAAAATTCAATTTTCTCAGTAAGAACTTGTAATCAGCCGAAGCGAAAATTGCCAGGCTAGGTCCTTAAATGTGAAAGATGAGGGGTTGGGTTTGATGTAGCCGTTATAGAGACCGAGTCTTTGACGATAATCGGTAGCAGGTCTGGACTTACACAAACTGTTTTAAAATATATTTCAGCGTTTAAGAAACATTGGATAAGTGCGTGTGTGTGTGTGTGTGTGTNGGGGGGGGGGGGGGGGGGGGGGATACTTAATTTTCTAAAGCTATCCAATTTATCTGAATAAGATAAAATCGCCGCATTTACTTCCGTTTTAGAAGCTTTAGACTCATTTTATAACACGGAAACAAAATATAAGCTTAAATAAATAAACTAAGACTACTAGTAAAACGCTAATGTTTTATGAACCTAGGACAGCATGTAGAGTCTAAGTAACTGTGATCTGAAAAATGGATCAATATGCTTTTAGGTCTGCCATTTATGAATATTTTAAATCTTAGTAGACTTTTTGGACTTATTTTCATCCTATTTTTATTCAGAATAGATCAATCAACTTATTTTTATTGTGATTTTTGTTTTTCAAAACTTTATCTATATAATGATAAATAGAGAATAATACATGCCTTTTTCCATATCACACCCAGTATCAACCCTCGACCAATATCAGCCCTCGGGCCTTCGGCCCCTGGGCTGATATTGCAGTCTCGGGTTGATACTGGGTGGGATATGGAAAAAGGCGTGTTTTATTCTGTTTATTACATACTTACTAAATAAAAACGACTATCATATGATGTTTTCCCCAAAAGGGGTGTGATATGTGTTTTGCGGGCTGATACGGGTTTTGGGGTGTGATACGGCGAGGGCTGATATGGGTTAGAGCAATTGTGTCATATCGCTTATACAAAAAACCCGTATTTATTAGTAAGTATGTAATAAATAAGAATACATCTAGATCTATAACGTTACTGATATATCAGTGATTTTAGCTTAACTCAAGTTGACCTCGACCTAATATTTGAACAAATATACAGATTTCACCTTGTGCAATTTTGATTGAACAGTACCGCAAAAATAGCGGTGATTTTGAGCGGCAAGTTTTGATATTTTTTCTATTTTTGTTCAAAAGATGTCAAACTCTCCAATATTTCAAATTCCAAATTTACGGAAATGTTTTCATTAAGGAGAGGTTTATTTTAAATATTTTTAACTTGAAAAAAATGATGAACGATTGAGTTTTTATTTCAATTAAATTAGCATTTTAGTGTTAGGTCATATCCAGCACCCGCAGTATACATTCAGGTGCATTACCTATAAAGCATCCATAATCCAAATTTAGATGATGTAGCTTTTGTGATTTTTGAAAGAAATACACGAAGGAGGATGACGTTATATTTAGCCTCTCCATTCAGGTGCACCACCTATGAAGCATCTACAATCTAAGTTTAAATGGTGTAGTTATTGTAGTTCAACTTTTGAGAGGGAAAAACACACACACAAACACAGATGAGGATGTCATAATCAGCTTCCGAAGCATGCATTCAAAAGCTTAACATTAAAGAGAAAACAGACGATCGCCGGATCATAAAATGGGAATTCAACAAAAAGTGATGGTTTGAAATTTAATGAGATCATACTGCTGTTTGATATTAATGTGAAATACACCCCATGATGGCTCTTGGGTGTAAGCTAATTTAGTTAAAGATACAAAAAGTAAGGAGTAAAAGCACAGCACACAGAGGTAAACACAACTTGACTCGGATGAGGATGGTGGACAACGTAATGTATTCAATATCTGACGCATGAACTCGGATGTAGCTAAGCTGTAACTTTGATTATAATTTTGACAGAATTACCTACACGAATTAGGAGGAATAGTTAACAGAGCTAAAAGCCAAGATGACGTTGATGCTGCCCCGTAAAAGACACTCGAGTTATTGCATTTTAAACAGTGCCATCAGTTTCTTGATTTAATTTAATTTGAAAAAGTAAAAAAATAAGAAAATAATATTTTCCTGGTATTTGTTTTTTGTCTGATTTAATAAAAACTTAAATACTGTTAGAAAATTCGACTTTTTCTCTGCTGGTGATATTTGAATATTTACCTATAGCTGTTAAGTTTGAGATATCGCATTTCATTTCTACCTAAAAGATACTGTTGACGCTATTCTAACAGGAAACAATATTAAATTTTGGTTCGACCAATCGATTTATAGTGGTTAAATTTGTAAAATTGATGAATATATAAAATTATACCAATAGAAACCGTTCTAAGCAGACGACAACAATGACACAGAACCCTGAATATCTTCACTGTTGCGTTATTGTTATATTTCTGTATGCGGTAGGGAACACGACGCTTTGTTTCCCCTCGATTCGCTTCGCTCTCATGAACCATCATTTACATCATTTCAGTTATACTATCAGACTTATACTATTAGTTATTCAGTCCTACTATCAGACTTATACTATTTGTTATTCTGTCCTACTGTCAGATTTATACTATTAGGTATTCAGTCTGGTAGTAGGACTGAATAACTAATAGTATAAGTCTGATAGTAGGACTGAGTAGCTAATAGTATAAGTCTGATAGTAGGACTTAATACCTAATAGTATAAGTTTGATAGTAGGACTTAATACCTTATAGTATAAGTTTGATAGAAGGAGTAAATATGCCTTATAGTATAAGTTTGATAGAAGGACTTAATACCTAATAGTATAAGTCTGATAGTAGACTTAATACCTTATAGTATAAGTCTGATAGTAGGACTGAATAACTAATAGTGTAAGTCTGATAGTAGGACAGAATACCTAATAGTATAAGTCTGATAGTAGGACTTCATGCCTTATATTATTAGTCTGATAGTAGGACTTAATACCTAATATTAATAGTCTGATAGTAGGACTACATACCTAATAGTATTAGTCTAATAGTAGGACTGAATAACTAATAGTATAAGTCTGATAGTAGGACTGAATAACTAATAGTATAAGTCTGATAGTAGGACTTTATACCTAATATTAATAATATGATAGTAGGACATACTACCTAATAGTATCAGTCTGATAGTAGGACTAAATACCTAATATTAATAGTCTGATAGTAGGACTACATACCTAAAAGTATTTGTCTAATAGTAGGACTGAATAACTAATAGTATAAGTCTGATAGTAGGACTGAATAACTAATAGTATAAGTCTGATAGTGGGACCTAATACCTAATATTAAACGGTTGGTAGTAGGAATACATACCTAATAGTATTAGTCTAATAGTAGGACTTAGAACCTAATAGTAAAAGTCTGATAGTAGGACTGAATAATTAATATTATTAGTCTAATAGAAGGACTGAATACCTAATAGTATTAGTTTGATAGTAGGACTTCATACCTAAAAGTATAAGTCTGATAGTAGGACTGAATACCTTATCCTATAAGTCTGAACGTTTATGATGAATAGTAGGACTGAATACCTAATAGTAAACGTCTGATAGTAGGACTGAATAACTAATAGTATTAGTCTAATAATAGGACTGAATACCTAATAGTATTAGTCTGATAGTAGGACTGAATACCTAATAGTATTAGTCTAATAATAGGACTGAATACCTAATAGTATTAGTCTGATAGTAGGACTTCATACCTTATATCATTAGTCTGATAGTAGGACTTAATACCTAATATTATAAGTCTGATAGTAGGACTGAATACCTTATCCTATAAGTCTGAACGTTTATGATGAATAGTAGGACTGAATACCTAATAGTATAAGTCTGATAGTAGGACTTCATACCTTATATCATTAGTCTGATAGTAGGACTTAATACCTAGTAGTAAAAGTCTGATAGTAGGATACCTAATAGTATTAGTCTGATAGAAGGACTTAATACCTAATAGTAAAAGTCTGATAGAAGGACTTAATACCTAATAGTATTAGTCTGATAGTAGGACTTAATACCTAATAGTATTAGTCTGATAGTTAGATTCAACGTTTAATATGAATAGTACAACTGAATATCTTCTGGTACTATGCTTTTTTTTTTGACTGAAACATATTTTTATTGACTTTGCACTCCAAGGATTAAATGAAATATAAGTTCTACTGCTTTTTTGTCAAATCACGCTATGTTGATATCAAACGGATTACGTGAAGCTGTGGTCATTTTAAAG